CTGCGCCTATTCTAACACTTTGCATAACTATCCTAGTATCCTTCCTCAATTACCATTTCTTTCCCTGGGTTATCCATCTTTGCAGGTCGGCGATTGAGAAATGAATATCGTACGAGGCCACTTATGTAAAAACCCGTGCAGAATTTAGGATTCGATTTTGTACCCTCTACTAGGGAAAACAAAAACGACAAAAATAAATCTGCTGCACCCATTACAATATTTGGGAAGTTAATATTTCTCTCTATTTCTAACATAGCGCGTTGCTTGACTGTATCTCATTCTAGGCTGTAGTGAAGGATGTTCTCCCAGGTGACGAAGGCAATGGGTTGGGTCCCCAGCCCGGGTCATACCAAAGTCCTTAAAAATGGTAGCTGTTATTCCCTGCATAAAGTTCAGCATTAAGGGTAATGGCTAAGTGGATCAGAGCACTGGCATACTGTGAACGGGCGGAAAATGTTATGCTTGGGCTTTCGGCATAGTATTTCAGTAAGATAGCACTACAATGTCGGCATCAGATCTGCGCTTTCTTACAAGGAGGCAAATGCACCAACATGTCCTGTCTCCGGCACACATGCAGTCATGTACAAGACACATGGAGGCACGTCCTTTAATGATCTAAGCTGTTAATAGGACGTAAAAAGCATCACAGCTTATGGTAAACAATGATTCTGATTTGTTTCAAAAAAAGATTTATTTTGAATATTTTCATTAGTTATCTGATACTATTTTAATTGATGTAAAGAATAATAAAAAATATTACATGAGATATTAGTTTTAACAATAAAAACCATCCGACTCAAAGGCATGTGAATTATCTCTTATACACATTTGATGGAAAGAGATTGACATCGATCGATTTGAATCGGAACGCATTTCTGTTTTCGATAATCAAAGCTAGGACTTGAAATCTTAATTATATTTGTTTGGATGTTTTGAGCTGTTCCAAGAGCTAATTTTTTCCCAAATATTCGTCAGTATTTTTATTCAACAAATATTTTTATTTTTATAATATTATTTTGTGGTAACATGCACTTGGGGATCTGTCGGTGTCTCCCTCTCGTCCTCTTACGACCCTGACTGTTGCAAGGACGTTAAACCACAAATATGTACAATAACACATTGAAAACAAATACATAAACCACAGTGTCATACACAAGGTCGGGAATTTAAAGCTATACAAAACACAGCATGTTGTTCTGACGCAAAATGAACCACGGAACGTAATACTTCATTAATATTCCTTGTCTACTTTTCAAGTTGTATGCGTCATTTCTCACGAGAACGTGACGTTTTGAAAAAATCGGTGAGGCGCCGCTCCTTGTTCCGAGACCTCCCTTACCGGACTTTGATTAGCGAAAAAAATTGTTCAACCTGTGTGGCTGGTGTGTAATTTTTTTAATTCCGAGAAAGCGCATACAACCTTGTATTCAGCTTGTCACGGTGGGAAAACCTGACAAGATAGGAGGCGGAGTTTCGCCAGTGAAAAGGGTTTTTTCCCGTTATTTCTAGGACAACGCTCCAGTTGGCACACATACACCGAGATGATGTCCGGTAGCGTAGTATTGGTGGTATTTGTGTGTGCTAGGGCAGTGTTAGGCATGCCTTCTTTACGTATAGCAGACCATTACAATGATTCTGAGCCGCTGTTAAAGTTACCAGATTTGAAACAAGAAGTGTATTATCAACATATGAAATTACCTCTGCGTACATTTGTCGGAGAAAAGGTTTGTATATCATCACCATTATTGTGATAACAAATTCATTACAAATGGTCCGTATCAAATTAGGGTGTAAGTATAATCGAATAACGGTCTTGGGTATATCTGGATGGTTTTAAATGGTTTTACCATATTTTACAGAAAATTGAATATGGCTGTTCGGCTTTTCCTCTGAAGGCAGACGAATATATTGGTAAGTATTGCTTACTTTATATATCAAAATATTTTACTGTGAAATAAAAGTTTTATGTAATTGCCAATTTTACAAAAATAACTCGTGTCTATGTATTGAATTAAGATATAGTAATGATTCATAATAAATTCTAAAAAGTGAAATGAGTGTCATGCATTTGTTTTGTGTGGGTTTTTTTCCGTTTCGTAGTGAATGCAAATAAAGATAGATTGTATGTTTTATATATTGTATATATAATTACAACATGTGTGTATAATGCCGCTGTGAACTAGAACAGCTTACAACGTTTTATACATTATTACAGCATGTGTGAAAATTACATGTTATACATAAATACAGCGCGTGTACAAAGTAGTCCCAGACTTGTACTGCTCGTGAAAACAATAGGTTTGTACTCCGTCCACCAGTCGGCCAGTCCGCCCAACCGGCAGTGCATCATTTTTTTTCCTGGCCATGTCTCGGAAACTTTGTCATCTTCAATTTCCAAATTTTTTATGTTAATTACTCTTGAGATGATCAAGTTTTGCGTATAAAATCATGTCGTATGTTCAGCTCTATACTATACAAATATAAATAGTGTGTCCACGTCTACGTGTTCTGTACATAACTACCAGTATTGTTGGTATTATATGTTATATACAGGAAATGTTAACCACGTGTTGTGTAGGTATTGTATATTATATTAACAACTACATATTGTAAGGATATTATTTGCTATTTGTAATATCAGTCTGTATAGGTATTATCTTATATACACCTTCCTCGAGTAAATTTTACTCGCTTGTATAGTGCATCTATTACTTTATTATACATGTATGTCTTTCCTCTCTAAGTCATGAGTCAATTGTAATTGTTATTTACAGTCGAGTATTTACCCATCGGAGAACGAGATGATGTTTATCACATAACAGTCGATGTATGCGACGTCCCCTATGATGAAGCTCCTATTTGGTGAGTTGTTCTGTTATTTGCAAATGAGAACTTAGTGATGTTAATATTTATGTTAATATGCTAAATGGAATATCTGTAGATGTTGTTAGATCTTGGTGTGAAATAGAGGTAATTATTTGCAAATTTTGAGCATAACACTTACCAGCCCGAGAGCCCCCTATAACGTCAAAGAGGAAGTGACGTCACTGAATATTAGTATAGCTTTATCGAAATCTCAATATTATCTGTATTATACGTACATGTAAGCTATACAAAACAAAACAAGAACAAGTAAATTCACAACTGCAGAACAAAAAGAGACATGTTTGGAACAGTCGGAAGTATGATTCATTATTATCATGGTGTTGATATTTCGAACATATCTATTTTGGTTTATTTATTTATTCATTTCATATCTTATTCGCCGAATATTTCAGTAAATTGCCATCAAGCAATTTGGATCCGTACTTTCTCGTCCAATTTAAACATGGTAGATGCTAAATTTTCCACGTGTCACCCCGATTCCTTATATATCTCACCCCTGCAGGTCGGGATCGAGAAAAGAATGCACCTGCTGTTGACCACTGCCATGTATCGTTCGAGACTCATGTGGGAGCTCCCTTCAGAATTGGGGATTTTGTTTTGTACTTTTTATTAGATGACACGAAAGCGACCAACAAAAGTTCTGCTGCACTCATTACAATATTTAGGATCTTCCTTTTCTTTCTACTTCTAACTACCTTTTATTTCCTAGCGTCTTGCTTGGTTCACCCGTTGTCAGTAAAATTTGAACGGGCGGAATGCTGTGCTGGGTGCCTTCGGTATGGTATTTCAGTG